CTCCATTTAAAATATATATTTTTTGAGCCATTCCTTGGTGGATTTGTTAGTGTGCTTATATGCTGTTGATCGAACGATATAGATTTATAGATACCAATATGATTTGCATCTTTATGTGCCCAATAACCGATATGCAGAACTGATATTGATTTATTGCTTTACCTCTGTTTTTGACACAATGATAACAACACCACTGAACTAAACAAACCATTTTATTTAGTATAATTTTGTCAATTTCACTTCCTCATTGCATACAAAACAAAACCCTTATTTATACACCAATAAACAGAGGTGCCTGAAAGAGTGCAAAAAATTAATCAAATCAATAAAGAGCACTGTTACTAAAGTGTCTTTTAAAAAAAAAAAAATACAAGCTTCAATGAGGAAAACAGATTACGTGACTCAGTGAGTTTCTCTCACTGAGTATGTCTTAGCACTAAACTGTTTAAACTACATGTGAAGCATTTATGTAACAAATCTAATGTGTACATTAATGGCTGCTATGGCAGTTCTGCGCGCAATTTGCCCATAAGATGATGCCATTTATCGGTAGGTAAGATATTACAAAACCGATAAACAATGATATAAAAATGCTTAAAAATCAGGAAAAATAACAGCAAAACCGATTATCAGTCGATGTCTAGTTGAAAGGTCCACGTTCAATTCAACTTCAACTTTCAAACAGATGGATTCTGGTCTTTGCCTATGTGATTATTGGAAAGCTGTAGTCTTGTAAAGGCTTTTTCCTGGGATGCCTCCCACGCAGGTGTCACGTATCATGAAACTCTAGACTCCAGTTCCCATCAGCCACTGCACTGCATTACCTGTCACATGACCACCTGCACCTGATTCACGTTTTGGTTTATGAGCACTCATGGGTATTTATAGTCATTGTCTGCACTGTTTCCTTGTCTTTCTTTGTCTTAGACTTTTGTCATTCATGTCTCTATGTTTTGCTTCATGCCTCAGTGTTATAACTTGGCATAACACTGAGGCATGAAGCAAAACATGTCTTAGTGTCTTTGTTTTGTAGTACATTTGATATAAATAAATGTTTATATCTACACTTGCTTCTGCCTCAACCTTGCTTCGTGACAGCAGGTCAAATTTGTGCAATCTCTTTTTGATTGTTGAAGCATGCACTTTGACACCAAAAGTTGTAAGAGTTACTAGCAGGTAAAATAAAAGTGGTATATAAGTGCAGACCATTTACCATGTATTTCCTTACAGTGGAATGATGTATTTCCAATTTGGAAATCTTTTTAAATCCCTTGCCAGATTCAGGTATCAACAACCTTTTCTCTGAAGGCCTTACAGAACTCTTTAGATCTTGGCATGATGACGCCACATACCTCAATAACAAAAGGGAAGACCAGTTACTAGATATGAGAGAGGTACAAATAAGACAGGTTCCACCTGCACTCTCTAAGCAGGTTTTTATCATTGGCACCCAATCTTGAACAAATGATTCTAATTTTATGGATTTAAAGGTGTGATAAATGTAGGGGTGTACTTACTTATTCTATGTGGCTTTTCTGTTTTTTGTTCATTTAAATTGTGAAAATGACTGTAAAGTATATATCTTATGTCATTTGATAGAGTATATCAACTGTATTAATAGGCACTGTTTCAAAGAAGACAACGTGTTTGCTTGTCCAAATATCTCAAAAAAGCCAACAAAGATTTCGATGGGGTGTTCTCATTTTTTCACATGACTGTATGTGCAAGCTACTTTACTAAGTTTGGCAGTGCCAAGCCTTAACCCCTAAGCCACCAGTGGTGGCCAATATGTGTATTTTTCTGACTCTGAAACTAGGTGCAATGAATTTCCCCATATAAACTAATAAGCAAGTACATGCTTGCTTCCTGACTAACTTACACACTCTCTTATTACACTTTGCTTGTATCTAAACTAGATATTCCTTCTGAGTCAAATGATGAACTACTACTACTACTACTACTACTACTACTAATAATAATAATAATAATAATAAATAATTTACTATAGTTATTGTATTATCACTTCAGTCATTATTTTACAATTAAGCAAAGTATTGCTACCCACCTTGCAGTACCATGGCAGTCCACTGAGGGGCATTTTTTTTTTGCCAGTTAAACGCCGCTGGTCTTTGCAACAGCCAGGATATTTTCTTGCTGACACTACTATATCATAAATATAAGTCACACACACACACACACACACACACACACACACACACACACACACACACAATGAAAATTGTGATTTAGGGTTAAAAGAAAGATAAGGCCTAAAATAATTTTTGGATGGTTTTTTTTTTGGTCTATTTTTTCTGTGCCTCAATATCTAGGTTGTTAAAAAAACATTTAATTGAGGACAGCTTTAGCAGTTTTAACATAACATGATGCCCTTCGGTAAAAGGTTACTTATCAAGCCTCATGCAGTAAGCTGAAACCAGATGAAAAAGTGGAAATCAAAAATTTATTGATCAGAAGCCAAAACATTCAGATGTACCATGGAACACCACAAAGGCCATCATCAACAAATGGAGAAAATGGGGCATCACATTGACATTACCAAGAACAGGATGTCTCTCTAAAAAGAGACCAGAAGAAATCTTGTAAGGGATGCTGCCAAAAGACGTGCAATAATATTACAGGAGCTGTAGGAATATCTGGCATGTACTGGTCACTCCCAGCATGTGACAACAATCTTACTTATTCTTCACATTTATGGAGTATGCTGGCAAGACAGAAGCATTTTCTCTCTCACACAATAAATTAAACATCCAAGCCCACCTAAATCACCCCAAACTATGTGGCAAAATGTGCTATGGACCGGTGAAGCCAAAGTAGATCTTTTTAGGCATGATTCGAAATCATATGTTTGATTAAACTACCTGCAGGACCCTGTTAGACAACTGCCAGTGAATAAAATTTTCAAATCTTCTAGCACAATAACGACCCAAAGCTTCAAGTCAACAAAAGACTGCATTCAGAAGAAGAAGAAATCAACATTTTGGAATGGCCCAGTCAGAGCCTAGATCTAAATCCTATAGAAAACCTGTGGAATGACCTGAAGAGGGCTGCGCACAAGAGATCCCCCCACATCTTGAAAGATCTGGAGCATTTTTTGCAAGCAAGAGTGGAATAAAATTGCCAAACTAAGATATGCTAAGTTAGTACAGTTGAAAAGTTGTATAACAGGCAAAAGCTATGTTACCAAAGTATAATTTAAAGGGTGTGCACAGTTGTGAAGCCAGGTTATTACAAGTTTTTTTCTATTTAATGTTTTTCTCCTGATACATTTCTATTTGAATGAGGGCAAACTGTAAGCCTTCGCATTTAGTGACAGGTTCCTTCACTTTTTAATGTGGTCAAACATAAAACGGGAGAGGTAAATGGGGGTTGGTGCCTTGTGGTGGACAGGAGGGGAAATTTATGGGCTGGATGTTACAACAGTCATATGAGAAACATAAGTTTGTGGCTACACTCCATTTTATTTGTTATCCTCACCCAAAGGACTGAAATTGATGACTCTGGAGTGTGAAACACAGACCCAAAGCTTCATAACAATGAAACCATTAGCAATGGACCACTATTCAGCAGAAATGTTTAGTTCAGCAGAAATGTTCAGTAGAAATGTTCAGTAAAAATGTTCAGCAGAAATGTTCAGTAGAAATATTCAGCAGAAATGTACAGCAGAAATGTTCAGCAGAAATGTTCAGCAAAAATGTACAGTAAAAATGTACAGCAGAAATGTTCAATAAAAATGAAACTGGAAAAAAAAGCAATGGACCACTATCTAAAAACGCAAATGACAAAGAAAATAGAGAAAAACACACACAGCTGTCAGATATTACAAACAATGGCAGATAAATGTAGCGATGTGATTGAATGTTTGTGAAGATGTTTGAAAGGACAGCCAGTGAGAAATGTTTAGTTATCAAAAAACACACTGCATATCTAGTGCGCTGGACAGAGCAGTGCCAGTGTGTGGATTAAGGCTGACTTGTTTAATGGCACATTCCACTGATTTTTCTCTCCGTTTTGTTTTGGATACATTTGATACCCAACACATTGGATAGTGGGCTAAGGGTCATTTTGTCCCAGGTGGTTGAAGAAAAAGACATGTGTATAAAATTGCCAGGATGGACTTGAAATACGATCCATAGTTTTACTATATCATCAGTCCTCGATTACTTGTAAAAAGTGATTGATAAACAACACATGAGCAAACCACCTAGAGGTGAAGACTGATAAAACATAGCCACGTTATCACAGTAGTGTCTCTCAGTAGTGCTGTGAATTGTCTACTGACACTACCATATTGAAATGTATACCCCTGATCAATCTACGGTTTACTGTTGAACAGAAACAGATTTGTGCACTGGAACACACAATGAAAATGAATAAATTGCATTTTACCAACTTCCAAAAAATGTTGTTGTCTTCAAACAGGTACAGTATATGTGATGTTGCACACGTACTGTACATTTCCATTTTCCATGTACATTTCCATGATCAACCTCAGTGCATGCAAAATAATCTGTCAGTAACCACAAATAGCATGGATTACCCAAAACCGCTTCCAGCCAGCAAGATTGCATGCTTCATGACAATGCCTTGCAGCTTCTCTTAGCCACATCTGAATGGGACTGTTAAGTTGACAAATGAGAGACATTATAGAATAGGGCCACTATTAGTGTATCCCCCCAATTCCTCCTCCTTCCTTCCCTTAACAAATCAACTCTAATCACTAACTTCACTGGTGGTCTTTCAAACTAGCTTTTAGCTCTCAAAGCAAACAAACCACTGCAAACAGAGTTTGAAAAAAGGATAGCTTGTTTCTAAAAATAAAGAAGAATAAAGTTAATCTCCAATAAAAGAACATCCAGTGTCTAAATTGATCTAAATTTGGAGTGACTATTCCTACAAAATATTTTTCAGTTATTATGCGAAACGGAATTAATTACCAAAACATGTAGCCTAAATTAAGTTATAAATTATGTTGTAAATTAGGCATGGTGGTTTACTGGTTAGCACGTTTGCCTCATATCTCCAGGTTTGGGGGTTCAAATCTCGCCTCTGCCCTGTGTGTTTGGAGTTTGCATGTTCTCCCAGTGCTTCAGGGGTTTCCTCCTGGGGTACTTTGGTTTCCTCCCCCAGTCCAAAGACATGCATTATAGGCTGATTGTAGGCATTTCCAAATCGTTGTGACTGTGTGTGCACCAAGCCATCCAAATTATCTCCCATTATGCCCAGAGTTCCCTGGGATACTCTCCAGGCTCTCTCGTGACCTTGTGTGAGATAACCGGTATGGAAAATGGATGGATGATATCAAACCAGGAGTCACAAAAAAATAAAAAAATAAAAAAATAAATAAAAATTTATCTAAACATTGAGAACATAGGAAATTTGGTCATGTTACCCTTCTGCAAATTAAGAAAACAAACAATCAAAAAAAGTTTGTTGAATTTCAAATTAATGTAAAATACAAAACAAAACAACAAAACTCTCTAGAATACCTATGAAAAATAGTTTGCATTGCAAGCAATAAGTAGCTGTTGACCTGAATAAATCAGGTAATTAAATACATAAGCAGAGCCAGGGCAATAACAAAAATGTTTCAAGTCTAGAATAGTTGAAAACTGGAAACAGTTTTCTGAAGCCCTGATCCTCTGGCACTGAGATATTCCTCTATATGTAAGTATGAGTATGTGCTCTGGTGCTACCCAAACATGTTCTTCACGGCCACGCCAACAGGTTGCCCTTGTTGTCAAGAGTCCAGAAGGCTTTTGGTGGTTTAAGCTGGCTGCCCATCCATAGATGGGAGAAATGATTTAAGGAAAAATACCTGGAAGCTCGGTGAGATTTGTTAATTAGGAAGTAACTTTAATCAATACGATATGAGACTGATAGATATGCTGAGACTATTGACTCGTTAAGCATGCTTTGAGCTCTGCTGAATCCATGAGATGTTTCTGTAACGCACTACACAAAGCTCAATTGTAGGATCCAAGTGCAGAGTTTATTAAATCAGATGGGGAAAAAAACAATCGTTAGTCACGATGCCAGGCAAAGAGGTCAAAGCCAAAAAATCAGTAAGACCAGTAAACAAATCTAAAGGACTAAGCAAAGGGTGAAAAAGCAGAGAACAATCAAAAGAACAAACCAGAGAAACATGCACAAGAATAGGGACATAGTAATGCAACCCAAGGGAGGGCAAGACTTCACAATGAGATATCTAAACACTTGGGCATATAAACAGTAAATCAGGAAGTAATAATATATTACAGGTGAGAGTAGGTGAACTGGAATTGAGTAGGATTCAAGCAACGGGGCCTCTGTTAGTATGGTGTGGAATTGTCTGGTGAGCATCAGGTAAGACCACAATAGAACTCTTTCTGTAATATTTCATTAATGTCTAATAGTTAATATTCATATCAAACATCAGAATGGAAAAAATGTGTGATTTCTGACTTTAACTGTGGCATAGTTTGAGTATTTCAGACACTGTCGGTGATGGGTGAGTAGGTGAAAAGTGGTAAGGGAAGTAGTTAGGATTCAGGCAATGGGGGCCTCTGGTGGTATAGCATGGAATTGTCATAAAATCATGCAGCTACATGTCAAGATTGTGAAGAGTGATTATATGAGTTATACTATCCTTTCTGTCACCGCGAACCAATCTGACCATTTTAACCTATCTTATCAACAAGGCGTTTCCACCCACAGAACCGTTGCTCACTCAATGTTTATGAATTACTCAAACCAACCCACCTACAGTCATGCCACGATTAACGTCAAAGAGATCACTTAAATTTTTCCCCATTCTGATGTTTGATTATTTATTGAAGCTCTTGAACTGGATGATTTTATTTATTAAGTGTTTTCCTATTAAAGTGGATGGTGAGTGTACATATATATGTTAGCTGAATTAAGGGAGGCTGCATTTTATTTAAAGTCCCCATGCCCACTATAAAATATGGTGGTTGATAAATGACATTTTGAGACTATGTTTGAACTAGTGGCCTAGATTCTATAAAATAATACAACCTCAATCCCAAAAAAGTTTGGACGCTGTGTAAAATGTAAATAAAACAGAATGCAATGATTTGCAAATCTCATAAACCCATATGTTACCCATATGTAATAGAACATAGAAAACATATCAAATGTTTAAACTGAAGAAATGTAAATTTTAAGGAAAAAAAAAAGGTAGTTGATGGCTGCAATACATAGGAACATGATTGGCCTGCACATAACCCTGACCTCATCCCCACTGAACTCCTTTGGGATGAATTGGAACACCAACTTCATGCCAGGCCTTCATTGCCCAACATCAGTGCCCATCCTGTTGTGCTTTTGTGGTTGAATTGCCAAATCCCCACTTTTAGTGGTAAGCCTTCCCAGAATAGTGGACAATGTTATAGAAGTGAAGTGAGAACAACTTAATATTAATGCCCAGGGTTTTGTTAAATACTGCATGTTAAATACTGCATTGTCCACATACCTTTGGCTATATAGTGTATATCATGCAATGGTTTTTGATCAGTTGGTGGACACTTTTTTTTCTGGAGAACTTGCATTGCTGTCAGTTCCTATAATAACTGGGTACTTAGATTGTATTCTGTCACTTGTAAGTTATTTGGATATACAGTAAGCATCTGTCACATGAATAAATCAAACACTAAGTGTTAATGTGTGTACATTTGTATTTGTAAAGTGGGCCAAGTAGTTCTGCTTGTCTCTATCTGACTTGAAGCCTCCGATTTCATGACAGGCAAAGAGGGGGCAGAAACCTCCAAAGCTCAGCCTCTGATGTGAGAAGAGTTGAAGGGATACAGCCAGATAGCATAGGGTCAATCTTAACATTTGAACACTTTTACAGGTTGTTAAATGCCCACACCTGAACCCACATATAAATCACTTGCACACACCTGTCAGCCTTCACTGATGATGACACTAATTGATACATAAATAAAAGCAAAGGCTTGACAAATCACCCTCCAGCAAATCTTCTAATGTTTCTCAGTCTATAAGTCCAATCTCTGCATTCTACATTTTATTAGCTCTTCACCAAATGTGAGCCCAAAGAACAGCCATTTTTAGTTACGTTTTGACTTTTTGCCCAATAACACATCTTTTTTCTCTCTCTCTCCTGTGTTTCCTGATTGAGTTGATGATGGAGACTGCACTGTGTGGTTACACACACACACACACACACACACACACACACACACACACATATCCCCAGAACTCCCCCACCACTTTCAGTCACGCACAGACTGCCCTGTCTGTAGACCTCAGCTGGCTGTTTTATTGCAAACGGCAGGAATACCATATGTTACAAAGGGTCCAAGATCTACATCAATTTCATGAGTATAGTTACAAGGGAATAAATCTCTTAGGACATAAGAGAAGGGAGCAGTGGGGAATGGGATGTAGGTCCTGAAAAAGCTGGAGAACATAAAACCCAGTCTGCCTGGTCCTGCTTCAAATGATCAAATTTCTGTTATTGATAGAGAAGAGATAAAAAAAATCATGAGATATTTTGTCTCATATGTCTCTAATTTGATGCTCATAGAGATACCGCATGTGACTCAGATTAGTTTAAAACATTGTGCTGATTTATATGCGTCCCCTGAAATGATAAATATGGAGATTTATCCTATTAAATAATGTTATTTCAGTACAAACAAGCACTAGTTTAAAAGGTTCTAAAGATTTGGAAGGTATATTAAAGACTTGATTGCAGTTAATTTGTTTAATCATTTCTCATTATTGGAACCCCATGGACAGGGCTGGTGCTACCTATAGGCAGATTAGGCAATTGCCAATGGCCTTATGCTTGGAGGCAGGGCCTCTATAACCGTAACGCTACGTTGCACTAGTCCACCGTTCAAGACCGGCAGCAAAAGACTAAGCCATTGGAGTCCATTGGAGTACATCTAAGTCCATTGGATATAGATGAATTGTCACTCACCTGTAGTGAAACCAATTAATATTACCATTTCAAAGTCGGCCCCACCCTCCGAATGTATGAAGAGATAAGGTACAATATACAAAATGCAAAAATGCAACCTTTCAGCAGCTGACTGACTTTAAGTCAGTGACTTCTGATGGTGCAGAAATGATCATATCCTTCAGGGGCTGCTGAGCAAAAGGCTAAACAAAGAAAGTGCAGCTTGTGATGCAGGTCATCATTTATTTTAGAGTGTTTGTAATGTATTCTAAAAATAAACTGGGCCTTGTTCAAAAGAGCATGAGCGCCAATGACAAGTTGAGACTGTCAAGACACTTTGAATTCGCATGTACAATGACATTGTGTCAGGAGCTGACTAGCAATATACTAAAGTAAAAGTAAAGAAGTTTCACTTCCACTAGCAGTTGATTTGTGTATATAGTGCATATTTAAGGTAATGCACTACAACATATAATATGACTATATCTATAGTCTGTAGGTGTCACGTCACTGCGAACTCCTGACTACAGTTCCCAGAGTGCAGCGCAAACTACAGACATGGCTGAAGAGGACTGCACTTCCCATGCACGCAAGCGTTCACATTCTCCGGAGTTCTGAACACGGACACCTGCACTCAATTACACCCACACAGTATTTAGAGCATGCCTAGAACATTGGTTACTCGCAAAGTAAATGCTCAGCAGTCCCGTTGCTGTACTTCACTAAGCCGTCATCTTTGTTTTTGGATTTCCCTGCTTTATGGATTTACTGCCTTGTGTTTTGACTACGATTCCCTGATGTTGGCACAAACCAACATCTAGTGCAGGCCACACGCACCTCCAAATGAAAGGCGGACCATCACCAGAGGGAACACTCCAACTACCAGCCCGGGGACAGAGTGTGGCTCTCCATGAAAAACCTGAAACAGCAACTCCCGTGCAGGAAATTTAACCCCAGGTATATTGGGCTCTTCAGAGTTAAGGAACAGATCAATGATGTCACTTACCCAGATGAGGATGGGTTCTCTTCTGAATCTTTTTCCTCTCAAGGTTTCTTCCTATTTACATCTTAGGGAGTTTTTCCTTGCCACGGTTGCCACCGACTTCCTCAACTGGGATGAATTCGCACT